AACAAGTAGAAGAATCTAAAGTCATTATTATAAAAGCTTATGCGATAAATCATGAAATGCACCTATGGTTAAGACTTCCTAGTTAACTATTGCTCCAAAATCACTAGATCCTAATAAATCACACAGAGTAACTCAGAAATCACAATATCAGATATATGACAAACATACAGATATAAGACAAACATACAATGTCCATTGTCCTTAAAAACAAACTGAACTCAACTTAATAAAAAATATATAAATCAAACCACTGACTTTCACACTTGGCAACATTTCGTTCCAGATTTTCTTTTGCTATTTTGTTTATTAATTGTGAAGAATGATTATATTTGTTGTAATTGGAACAGATGGTGAAAAGGAAATTGTAGATGTTAAAGATAGCACCTCTGCTCAGGGTGTTGAACATGGGGACGTTGACGTGGATGTGGCTCAATAGCTGCATAGCGGAGATTTTGGTGGCACATTTGCTCCACCAAAAGTAAATTCACGGAAAAAAGGCATACCGAATTATTTGTCACTGGACATGAATTGCAGCCAGGTTATGAAATGCGGATAATAAAATCTAGACGTTTTGCAATGTTAAGAGGTAAGAATATTCTGTTAAGAGGCATAATTCTTGATTATTTTTTTTCTTTATTTTTTTTTTATCTAATCTAAGATAGTAAGTGTTGGCTATTTTTTTACCGATATGTCTAACCCAAGAGCGTGGTGGACACCAATTTGTTGGGCTTGAACTTCGAGCTTCCATGGATAATGTTTCAGATCAGGCTAGTCTTGAACCTGAAAGAGGTAAGTTTACAAATTTTCGTCGTTTGGTTTCCTGTGTTTGTTAAATTGAAATTCACCTTATGAGCTGTTTGCATCCTTCATTGCTGGAACGTTATTTATATTTTTTAATAATTCATGCCGATTCATTTTATTGTAGTTGGCAGTTGTAGTTATAGTGTATCTTCGAAACCTAGAGTTTGTACATCAGAACAGGGAGTCGATGGTGAATATGACTGTGACCAGGATCAACTTAGAGCTGATGAAGTTGTACAAAAGAATGAACGTACTACAAAATCTAGTTTGCTGAACATTCCTACTAAATCCCATGTGCTTGTGCAGCCAACTATTTGTGAATATTGTGGTGCCAAAAAATTTCATAGAGAGAATAAAGGGTTCTGTTGTTCCGATGGCAAAGTTAAATTGCATGTACATAGTGTACCTAATTAATTATATGAATTATTTACTCCAAATTCAATCGATTTTTTGAATTTTAAAAAATTTGCAAGAACTTATAACAACCATTTTGCATTCACATCATTTGGAGTCAAATATGACAAAGATTTGTGTAAAATGAATAAAGGTATTTATACATTTAGGGTTTAAGGACAAGTTTATCATTACATAAACCAACTTTTACCATCTAACAATAACCCAACTTATTTACAATTATACCTTTACGATACTGAAAATGAGCTACCAAATCGATTGAAAATTTCTGATAAATTTTGTGAATCAACTTTACGAATCTTGATTGATATCCTAAGGATTAATCCTTACTCTATGTTCTTTCGTTCATTGAGCAATATTGATAGCTTAAATACATGTCGAATACAAATAAGATGTGATCCTGGTTTAGATCAAAGAGTCTACAATACGCCAATGGCTTTACAAGTAGCCGCAGTTTGGGTTGATGAGGATCCATCTGCAAACAATATAATTTGTGATATATCGATTTAAGGTCATTCTGGCGCTCAACATTAAGTGCATTATTACTTTGGTTGTTATGATCCCCTTCAATATCCATTACTCTTTCCTTGTGGCGAGTCTGGATGGCATGAGGGTATTGAAAGATTCAATAAAGAAATGCTTCATTTTTCTTCTACACAAGAGAACCTTTTAAATATCAATAACATAAATTCTGCGAATGAATTGATTGAAAGAGAGAATCAAGGTTAATAATGTGAAAATTATTTTTCCATTATTTTTTATTTTTTTTGAATTCATTCTCTTTATTTATTTATTTTTATTATTATTATTTTTTGTCTTGTAGTTATGAAGAAGAGAAAGAAGAGGCTACATGTGTCTTGTCGTGAGTATTATTGCTATAAACTAAAAGTTCGAAATTCAGGTAATTGTATTTTATTGCATGCTGGTAGGCTTTTTCAACAATATGTTGTTGATATGTATGTGAAAATTGAAACTGCTAGATTAGATTACTTTCGTAATAACCAAAAACAAATACGGGCTGAACTTTATCAAGGAATTATTGATAGTGTTGAAATAGGTGAAAGTAGAGGTTATAAGGTCGGTCGAAAAATTATTTTACCATCATCTTTCACAGGTGGACCTAGGGATAATAAAAAACGATATATGGATGCAATGGCATTGGTTCAAAGATATGGTAAACCCGATATCTTTTTAACAGTAACTTGCAATCCTAATTGGCCAAATAGAGCAAGAACTAAGGCACAATGATGAAAAGCAAAATAGGCCTGATTTGCTTGCACGAATATTTAGAGCTAAATTGGAGGAGTTAAAAAATGATTTGTTTAGAAAACATATTTTAGGACCCATTGTTGCATACATATACGTAATCGAATTTCAAAAGAGAGGTCTACTGCATGCACATTTTTTGTTAATTTTTAAATCGGGATCAAAAGTCACTTTAGTTGATTTGGTTGATAAAATTGTTTGTTGTGAAATTCCAGACAAAAATCATTACCCCCATTTATATCCTATTGTTGTAAAACATATGTTACATGGTCCTTGTGGAACATTAAATCCAAATAATGTTTGTATGGAAAATAATAAAATATGCCAATAAGTATCCAAGAGAATATGCAATGACGACGTCACTTGGTGATGATTCATATCCACGATATAGACGGCGCAGTAATGGTCAACAAGTTAAAGTCAGGGGACATTTCTGATAATAGATGGGTTGTACCTTACAATCCTTTTTAATAGCTAAATATGACTGCCATATCAACATAGAAATATGTTCAACTGTTAAAACTATCAAATATTCATATAAATATATTTATAAAGGACATGATCAAATAACTTTTTCCATATATGACAATGAACGAGAAGATATTGATTGAATTTCAAGATGGCTTGAAGCGATGTGGAGAATATATGGATTTGTGTTATCTGAAATGTCTCCATCAGTTATTTCACTACAATTACATCTTGAAGACCATCAACTAATTACATATAGAGACTTTGATAATTTGCAGGTAGTTATTAGTAGAGATTATGCATGAAGGACTACACTAACCGAATTCTTTCGTACCAATGTTACAAATAAAAAGCTAGAACACTTACATATAGAGATTTCCCTTCTTATTTTATATGGAATGAAATGAATGAATTTGAACTCCTAGAAAGCAAAAGAATGTAATTGGTAAAATAGTTACAGCTAATCCAGCTGAAGGTGAAAGATATTACCTACGCCTTTTGTTAAATCACATTAAGGGGTCAACTTCCTTTGAAAAATTAAGAGTCATAAATGGTGTATTGGCATCCACGTTTCGTGAAGCAGCTCTTTTACATGGTTTATTAAGTGTCGATGATAATTTTGAGCAATGTTTAGCAGAAGCAATTGTTAACCAAATGCCCCTTTCATTACGTATGTTATTTGCTACCATATTGACTTTTTGTGTTCCTAACAATCCACGTTCGTTGTGGGATAAGTTTAAAAGTTATATGTTTGAAGATTTTATACAACAAGGTATGTCAATTAGTACTACTTAACTAAAAGCATTATAGTGTATAAATTCTGTATTAGAACCATTGAACAAAAGTATAAACAATTACCGTTGGTGTCACTTGATATAAGCATGGAAGAAGACGAAACATTGGCTACCATGATTTCTGAAGAGCTAAAAAATGGTGCTAATCAAAGTGACAATTTTGATACGAACACTTTAAATAAAGAGCAACAGTATGCTTATAATACAATTTTACACCGAATTTTAAATGATGACAGTGGCATGTTTTTTGTTGATAGGCCTGGTGGGACAAGTAAAATATATTTGTACAAAGCTTTATTGGCAGCTGTAAGATCAAGAAATCTCATTGCTTTAGCCACATCTTCTTTTGGAGTAGTTGCTTCCTTATTACTAGGTGGTAGAATTGCACATTCTAGATTTAAAATTCCTTTAGAAATAACTGATGATGTTGGTTGTTTGATTAGTAAACAGTCTGCATTGGTAGACCTTTTCAGGATGACTAAACTAATCACATGGGATGAGGCACCAATGGTAAATCGTTACGCTGTGGAA